GCTCCGAAATATTCGAAAAGTAATTAGCATATTTTGATACCATATTTGGAAAACTCTCCACAGTTAGCCCGCAAAAAAAACTCCAGCGCTGGCAGTTCGCAGTCTTTCACTGCGGTTGATGTCCAGTGACGCCTAAACGAAAATTATGCTTTCATAAAATTAAGTTCAATAAGGAAAATTAGTCTTTTCAGGAATAGGAAATTTGTATTCTCAAAATCCCTAAAGAAATAACATCCACAAATTTGCACATGCATGTGTACACAGATTATTTCTGAGAGGACGACTCACAAGATGATAACCTCACTGACACACTCTCGTACCCAGAGTCTTCGTCGCCAGCGACGAAAACGTAAGACTCTGGGGTATCGGATTTTTTTGCGAATTTTGGTTGTTTCTTGAAATTGAAACAAATTCCGTCGGAAGTGAAATTACACCAAGGAAAACATGCAAATTCATGATTTATCTCGAAATTTTACCTTAGATTCTTGCTTTAAAATTATTTATTAAGTCATTCAAGTAGGAAATTGTGATAAACAAGATCAATAAGTGCATTACCGGAATGCAGTTAAATTTAGCCGCGACGAACTGTCGCGCCAACTGGCCAACCGTCGAGTTCGGAAAACATACCAAATGTTCTATGATCAAGACATAATCTATCCGAATTTACTTTGTCGAAGGAAGATCAATTACTTGGGATCTTATACGTTCCTATTTTGACTTTCTTTAAGGCGATTTTCTCGAGGAAATTCGATCCAAAGCCGTTTGGATATCATGCGCATGTGTGATATCATGCGCAGTGGAAACCGGAAGACAGAAATCTGTAGTAAAAATTCCGTTATCCCAGAGTCTAGTGTTTGTTGAGGCGCTGGCCAAGAAAAACGAAGGCTCGGGGTACGAGATTGTCACTAACAATTTCCGACCGAATTTCAATTATCTATAAATTCTTACCAGGTTCCAAACGTTTCTAAGGAGTAGAAAGCTAAGGGGTAAATGCAGAACATTTGGTTTTTCAACTCGAGTCTCGCCACACACGTCGTTATTTCGACATGGATTCATATATAAACATTGTGGTTTAGGATACGAATTCGAACTGTGAAATTCAAGGTAAATGCACACAAACAAACTGACTAGTTGCTTATTGCTAAAAAGTTCTTCGTAAAAGAAAACTTGATATATTATGAAACATTTTGAATCGAAATTTTATATGGAAATCGATTCGAAAGTAAAATTAAAAATAAAATTAAATTAATCTTCAGTCGATCTAATTCCGTAAAGCCAAGCATGCGTTTTTAGAGTGATTGTGTGATTTTTAGACTGATTGATTGATTTTTTGAAATGACACAAATAAGCGAAAATGCGCGTAAAAAAAGCGTAAAAAAACGTCAATTCGATGTTTCGCGCCGAAGACTATAGCTTTTAAATGAAACTAGCTTTACAATTTATGTAAACACAGACTATCCACCGGAGGTGTAAACATTTTCCCGTCATGAAAACACGCGCACGCCCGCTCCTCTGATTGGCTAGCATAGCAGCCAGGTCGTCTAAAAATGGATATGTCAGTACACCCTTTAAGACGAAAACGGCCGTTGTTTCGTTTCTAAAAAAAACAATGTCCCCGTCGCTATATTACTTAAAGTATTGTTCTTATGCTACAATCCTGAACGTTGTGCTATCATTAGCAGCAGTTTAAAGTTTTACTTTCTTATTGCTCTTAAGCCATTCATATGTATTCTTTGGTTAGTTCTCACCATATATATCATATTTGATGAGTGCACTCATATATGACGAAACGATGTGTGTGTGTGTTTTTTTTTAACGAAACGATGTGTTATATTTTATGTTGCGAGGGTTGATTTCACTTACCACAGAAGTCTTGATGTAAGAGCTCTAGCTAAGACTGTGAGTTTACTTAGATCGGAACAACTACTTATATTGTTATTATATTATTAATATTATAATTACTATTTCTAAGTGTTTGCCATTACTTTCAGACACGCTAATATTCAGCACATGGATAAATTCTTTTTAATTTCTGGCAAGCTATAGAGCAAGATTGTGTACATTTCTAATAACAATGTTTTAAATCAATAAAACGTGTACAAACTTGCAATTATCTGAAAGTATTTATTTATATACTGCACGATATGCGATATTCAAGTTTTTAACAAAATGGAAGAGTTACGCACGTTCTGAAAATATCTACGCAAGAAATTATAGCAAAAAGCCTGATTACTTTTTACTCTTAAAACCTGATAAACAAGAATCGATCCAAGCATAGTTACCACGACCTTCTAAGTTAAAGGATCATGCTGACAGGCATTTTCTATTAAAAAATGTGAATTTTTCAAAAAAAATATATGTTTGAACTGACCAGTGCAAGAACTGTTGTATACGTATTCATGTTAAAACAATCTAACAAATATACCAGAGCATACAGCACACAGAGGAAAGTTACCGATTATAAATTGATAAGTACACTTTAATTCTTCTTTTAAGGATTTTACATGGGCGCGGTAAGACAAGGTGTTAAAATAATGAAAAGATCTCTCTTGATTGAGGGTAGGAAACACGACTTGACGGAGATGAAATCTTTGTCTCCAAGCAACCATGTAAAATCCTGTTTATCGTGTTGCATGTATTATCCATGAAAGGAAATGATCCTTTTCGAACTATAAAGAATATCTTACATTAAAATGGGTGCTTCTCGAAAGTCAGAAATATATGCATTTCAGAAATATATGCATTTGTCTGCAACTTTTTGTAATAACACCATGACATAATTTTACATCGTACTCTAGTATTTCAACCAAGAAAGARAACTACTCAAATAGCTGCACTAATCCCACATATTGAACAAAAATAAAAATAGAAATTGCAAGAGTATGGCTCTCGAGGTCATAGTATAAAAACTTGATGTTAGTACTATCTTTAACATGGGCGGATCCAGCGTTTTACAAGGGGGGGGGGGGGGGGTGTTTTTGTGAGTATTAGACAAGCTTAAAGCTAAGTAAAGCAGATGAAACTTATCATTTTTGTTAGCTGCATATTTTCTAGAACACAAGTTGTGATACTACTCGTTTTCTCGATAAAAGTACAACAGGAGTATAAACAGCAGAAAAAAAAGTTTTCTGATATATAAAAAAAATTACGTCGTTCAAAAAGGAAGATGCGTCACCCAAATCACCACCCCTGGATCCGACCCTGCTTAAGAATTCTGGTTGTAAAAACTGCAAGCATGTGAGCTTCTGTAGGTTGGCACGCCTACTAACTATACCTGTTATTGATAGAGCGAACATGGTACGTTTTTGTCTACGTTTTTGTCATCTTTTTCGGACACGCTCACTTAGTAATTCAAAGCGTGGTTGCATTCTTGCGTACTGTCTGACAAGTCATAGTGAATGGATAATTATTACAAGAAGCGGAGTGGTATCAAAGAAAGAGCCATAGCTATTGACAATCATGCATTTGACGTTATTAAAAGTTTTGGTTAGACTATAACTAAAAAAGTCGGTGAAATAATGTATAATGTACGTTTTACACGTTAATTCTTCGTCGGAGTAAAGAGATGTTTTTACCAAAATTATTTCTTTAGAAACACCGATGCAGCTCACATTAGTTTACAGCCAGTTCTCACCGCTATAACTCCATTAATTTTAACTTTATCTGAGAAATACTATTTGTAAGGAATCAACAGAGGTCTTCAATTCTTCATATTCTTTTGTCGATAGTTATGAATAAATTCATAGATGATATTCAGATATTTCCAAAAAGGCTTTAAATGTTTCAGATCGATTTCATGTTATGGTTATTGCTTTTGTAATGGTGCGAAAGCTCTTATTATATTCCAGCCGCACCTTTAATTCGTTAACTTAAAGGTCTGACATATGTCATAGTCGAATGAATATTTGCGACAAGAAGCTGTATAGTATCATAAAAAGAACCATAGCTAATAAAAATCATGCATCTGACAATAATCAAAGTTATTTTGGAGTTTTGGTTACACTATAACTGCATTAAACGTTGAGTAAAAAAATAAATATAACACCATAAATAAGTACTAGATGAAATAACTTAATGGCGTTTTGGACGTTTATCTTTCGTCGATTATCCTTCGAGATGGAACTAGTCATTTGTACAAAACTGTTTCAATCTTTAGAAACACCGTCGCAGTTCACAGTAGTTTACTAGTTTCCACCTTTATAACTACACTGAAATACAATTTGTAAGAGTTCTGCAGAGGTCGACTTCAATTCTTCATATTCTTTTGTCGCTAGTTATGAATAAATTAATATACGATATTTAGATATTTCCGAAAAGCCTTAAAATGTTTAAGAACGATTTCCTGTTATCGTTATTGCTTTAGTAAAGGTGACAAAGCTCCCGGAAAGCTCTTATTATATTCCTGCCGCAGCTTGTCAATTTAATCTTCCAGTCCATCTTTTAACCAATGAAAAAAGAGAGAGTGAAAAGAAAATGGTGTATGACAACTTGCCTTGGAAATGTTGTGCTAGAGAGAATAATCCTGGAACTAACTATGCCTTTAGAAAACCTAGCCAGTCGCACGARTCTACCAAGGAGAAGTGGCAGCCTACCTCCTGGTTTTATCAAGAATATAAATACTGCTCTGCTTTCGCTTTTAGGGTCATAGTGATTTTTTTAGTTATTATTTATTTCTTTATTTTGTTTGTTTGTTTGCTTTTTTGCTTTTTTGCTTTTCTTATTTTTGTTTGTTTTTTGTTGTTGTTGTTGTTGTTGTTGTTGTTTTTGTTTTTTTGTTTTTTTTGGGGGGGGCGGGGGAGAGGGGGGGCATTTAACTGGTCTTATCAAGGAATTTTTACATAATTTGACATGGAATGGTTTACCTTTATGTCACTCATTGTAGCGTTCTTCCTATTTTTACCCTCCTGAAAACCACCTCGGAATTGCAGGTGATGAAAGCTTGAATTAGCAAAACAAGTTAAAGAAAAGAAAGAAAGGAAACGAAAAACTTGCAAGCGAACGAGAGTAACATGTTCATTTATTATCTGGTTAGGACCCTTACGGAAGGATCAACATTTAGCACTATATATATTGGGACTTCAATTCAAAAGTAACTTATTCAATTAAAGGATAAGTTTATTTGTTTGTCTTCAGATTTAGGAATTGGGTGTATTATGTATACTATTCTCATCCAATGGGTTGAAGTGCCTCGGTCTCCGAATCCACTGTCTCCTTAGTTGGTTCGTTGTTGGTCTCTGGTAGAGTAAAACACAGTACACAGGCGATGAACGCAGCGATAGCAAAGATAGAATACGGGATCAGAACATGGATACGAATCTGAAATAACCAAAGAAGTGAGACAGTCGTTTGTAAAGTTCTGGACTCCAATCATAATGCAAGAGGTATATAGCTTACAAGTTGAACTACAAATGGAGCTGAAATCGAACCAATTCTGCCAGCTGCAGACGACGTCCCCATACCAACATTCCTATTCATAATTAACATTTCAAAAGAAGTTAAACTTTGCACCAATTGTGCGATTTCGTTCCGCTTGTGTAATTTATGTAGTTAATTAAGGATTTGGCTATCAGAATACAATCATTTACTCACCTGGCGACAGTCGGAAAGAGCTCGGCAGAAAAGACGTAAAGGGCGTCAAAAGCAAAGGTAATGAAAAACTTGGCGGTCATGGACATGATGATGCGCCCAACACGAAATCCTACAAAACATATTAAAAACGTTTAAAACGGYTGTGTACTTTGGACATCGCGATTATGATTGGCTTCTTTTGAGAAGGCGGGAAAAGCGCGATCGCGTAAATTTTTGAAARCAATTTTTTCACCACTRCGACTTTTTTTTTCTTTGAATCACTTCACTTCTGCGCCAAATGTCGGAAAAATCAACGGGTAGCTAACAGAAAGCGATCGATCTTTAACTGAGGATGAAAAGACAAGAAGAAGAGAAAGAGAGGGTCGAAGAACTCTTATAGTGAAGAAAACGTGAGTATAGACGAAACAAGACTAAAGGAAATAGAAATAAGTGAACGCCAAAGACAACGATTATTGAACGAAAATCTCACAGAGGAGAACTTATATATTTTTCGGCGATACCGTGGCGTATTATTACATATAAAACAAATGACTGTATGTAAGATTATGTGCAACGTCAAGCGGTTTTTTGTGCTCAAATATCAATTCTACTACTTCAAGAAACATAAGCAGTTTTCATCTGGTTTAAAATTGCTTTTGATCATTTGAAAATCTTCACCTGATACGCTTCAAAACGTGTTTTTTGACAATACAAATATGTGTGAATTGTGTGTGTATTCTATCTACATGATAATCTTCTTTGACATACATGTAAAATTACTCGGATGATTTGATTTATAGAACTATGTATTTCAAATAGAGAGCCTTGATATTTATTTGGATGTTCAGATTTTTAGTCTTTTGCTCTTCAATAAACTCTTTTATACAAACTGTCCACAGGAAATACAGGAAATATTATGTTTGGATAAGCAAAGAATTTGAGAACTTTCATATTATMATTATGATCATTATGATTCCTTTGCTTACAAAACTGTCAAAATGTATTTATTATCATTTATTGTCAAAATGTATTGATTAGTGTCATTCCTGTGTGATCAAACTATTTTTTATGTTTCCTGTATGATTGAAAAACACCCAAACAGTCAAATTGCATTAATTATTTTTTTTTATAATCCCTGTATGATTGACAAATATCAACCGCCAAAATGTATTATATTATTATTATCATTCCTGCGTGATTAAACAGAGGATGGAGATGGAGATGGCTGCATGAAAATGTATTGCGCTCACTAGTGGGATATAAATTCAAAACTTGAAAATAAATTAGGTTTTACCTAATTTTTATAATCTCAAATGCGTGCACATCTCCTGAGACTACCTCCTGCCTGGGTCCACCCTCTGAATTTCAAGGATTTTTATTAGTGCGAGCTGGTAGACATTTGATATGGACTTGCCAAATAGCTATTTAAACAAAGCATTGATATGTGRCTTGAAGGAATTGTGATGGTTTTATTGAAATAAACCTTTTTTCAGAGGTCTGTATGTTAAAATAATTTGCTGACCTGTTTGTGAGGGATCTCTCTGGAGAAGAACCGCAGCTGTAGACGCTATCGATGCCAGTATCAAACTAAGTAATGTGCTTTTCTTTCGACCAAACCTATCATCAGCAATCAATMAATAGATTATCAATTATAAAAATGCTATTAAGAGTTGTGCCAATAGTTCAATACGAACGCAGCCTTTTCTTTGCTTTGAACATTGGTGGTGTGTATATTGCCATCCAGCATTGAGGACTTRGTATCATGTGACCRMTCCACGAAAATGGTCTTTTGGAAATTGCTTTAGAACAAAAGTGAATCACATACCTATCCATAGACTTTATTGTGAAGAAAATTGAAGGAATCTCGACGATGGCTACTAAAAAGAATGCAAGATAACGATTTCCACCAAAGGAGTCAAAGCTAAACATTGTCCCCCAGTAGACCATGGAAACGACTGCCCTAAAGAGCAATATCACATGTGCCTTTAAAACCAAACATATTTACAAACGATTTAATCACAAATATAATATAAAGTGAAATCTTTACTTTCTACTAGTCAACTTACCAACTGAACCAAATGCTTAGTGTGATTCTAGCAATTCTGAAAGAGCAGAACAAGTCTCGTATATCACCAACACGTTGTTTCTCATCCATGATTGCAATTGGATTTGGTGGCATCTCTTTGCGGTTGAAACGTGCAATCTTGGCGAGATATGCTTTGCTTTCATCATGTTTTCCTCTGGTTATTAACCATCTCGACGATTCTGGTAGGTACCTTACGGGAATAAACAATATTTAAACAATGGTATTCATCAATATTGAGAGTAATTCATTAGTGGCTGGTTCGGGTTATCAATATTGTATAAGGTACTCGAACGGGAATTTGAGGAAATCAGAGTAAAAATACGAACAAAAAACGGCTTTACATTTATATTGGATTGTAAAGTGACAAGCTACAACCTGTCTTCCGAAATCATATTGGATTGCGGCGTATGGGGACTTCCATGKTGATAAAAAGTGTTTGAGATAGCCAATAAGTTCAGACAACCTATAAAGTGACAAGCTACAACCTGTCTTCCGAAATCATCTTGGATTGCGGCGGTATGGGGCGACTTCCATGGTGATAAAACGTGCTTGAGATAACCAATAAGTTCGGACAACCTATAGTTTTTTAGCGGCTTTTTTTGTGCTTTCATTTCTCTTTCCTGCCAGGAGAAGCCGGCGGGGTCTGTTCTTCTAAATAACTGTTCTTGAAGTTATGTTTTTCTTTTTCTGGGAAACAGATTTTGAGATACATTGTTGACAATCTTACAAGCAAATGTGCCGCCATTCCTTCTTTAAAACAATTTTGTTCCTGGAMAAAGTTTTTAAGTTCAAACATATCTAACGTTTTGATGGTCAAAAACTGCTTATATCTTTTTAGTTAAGAAATTTTTATTTTCAAAGCCAAAATTCTTTAAAAGTATTCCTTGCCTGGAGAATACTATTTCCTGAATTTCTCGCTGGCAACCACCAGTTGTTACTAACAGCTGTCTGGGACATAAGAACAATTATATATTTCTCCCAGGAGGCMGTCGKCTCCCCCTACCCTGCTAGCTACCATAATTTCTCTTGTTGTGGTTTCAAAGGGTTATCAATGGATTATCTTTATAATGGACTTTTGTTTTATATACCTGTTTGATAACCAGTTTTAAAAAATAAGCTTCTTAATTTACTACACGTTCTTAACCTTTCGTCCAGTGATTCTAGCTTTCAGGGAAAAAAATCTTAAATACATTTTACTATACGAGGACTACATACCACCAGAAGAACACCTGCAGTAACCCAGGCACTGCAGCGGCAATAGAAAGCATCCTCCAATCCCGTATAAGATACGCAAATAACACTAAAATCATCAGCGATATGGTGAAGAAGTACCACAAGCTAGTGCCTGCCATTGCACGATGTTTGACGCCCACGTACTCCACCATGAGAACAAACATAGCCAGAGAGGAACTGCCTATTAGGAAGGGAATGATATACTATAGTAATCAACCTCAAATTARAAAAAATGCAAAGGGAAAGAAAACATAAAAAGTGCAAGAAAAWGAAGAGATTATTTAAAGGAATAAGCACGCGCAAAAGAAAAACTGATAACACTGGAAGAAATAGTGTGCCTTAAAAGGTTGTAAATTTGATGTAAATATGATGTAAGTGTCCAAAATTCTGTAAATTTGATGTAAATGATTTCCATTAAATTTACAGAATTGTGGACACTAACATGATATTTACATCAAATTTACAACCTTTAAAGCGCGCAATTTTTTACAGTGTAAAAAGGAGAGAAAGCTGGCAAATCAAACAGYACAGAATATGAATCCAATTACTAACTCTACAATCAAAAGGCAAAAGTAAAAGAATAAAAAAAATAATTGAAAAAACAATTTGAGAAACTTAAAAAAGTTGCATCGCAACCTCGAAGCTTTAAAGCTTTTTTTGCATTTTCCGGTCTTTTCCTCTTCTTTTTTTGTGAGGAAATAACTTCGAGAAAAAAGAGTCTTTATGCCTAACGAAAACAGTCTTTGTTGTCGCTCCCCTTTACGCAGTAAAGAACAATTTTCCAACGAACTTCAGGTTCGCAATGCAACTATTTCTGCAGTGTAAGAAAAAGAAAGAAAGACTAAGGAAATAGAACGGAATTACAAAAAGGTGAAAAATTTGAGAGAGTCGCCAAGATTCAATGATGCAAAAGAAATAATCCTAACTTACCAAGGCAAGCTCCAACAAGACCCCTRAGAACCGCAAACAGCCAGAAAACATTGGAAAATGAGGCAATCAAGGCGAGTATRCTACTGAGCACAGACGGATAGAAYACTATTGGTTTACGTCCACACTTGTCAGACAAAACACCACCAAATAGTACGCCAACCATATATCCAGCAAACACAATACTCTTAGCTATGCTGGACAAGCTTGATCGGTCGCATATTAGATCCCACTAGAATTGGTTTAAACGAAATTTAAACAAAGTATTTCACACTGCATTCAAGGACACTTCGCGAGCTAAAAGTGGATAATGCTTATATGGTCTGCAAAAAAGAGTTTCATCATTTGCGTTTAATAGCATGTCTATAGCCAATATGTTCCATTGTATCTCGTCCTTGATGTATAGTTTTGCCAATTARCAAGCTTCACTCGAAGCTGMTTTCAGTGGWCATGATTAATGCGTCGTGTGAGCYTTTTTTTAATAAGACATGATCAGAAAAAAATGTAGGACTAACRAAGCCGAATAATTTCACATCACAATTGATACGAATCTACAGAGAAAAGAGTGTGCATCTGCTTTATCCACTTTATCTCTAACAAACTAATTATAAATAGATACACTGATTATTATTGATGTAGTAGCAATCATGCATGAACACGTGGATGCGAACATGTGATCTTAAAATGTTCCCTGACATTATAGTCTTCTTAAATGAAGGATTGGCTCGTCAAGATACCATTAGCAAATCACTTTCAGTAGCAATTAGTTACTGTGTTTTCAAAGTGAATGTAAATTAATACMAAATGATGGAACAAAATGACGACATCCTTGYTTGGTACTTACTTCTGATACAATCGAATTAAATTCACTCGTATCAAACTCCCATTGGTCACGATGAAGGCTACATCGTAGTTTATAACCATYTTGCCCCGGTGATAGACTACCAGTTATATTGCAAGATGTACTGTTGCTCACACAACGCCATGGAGGCTCTGCAGCCAAGAAGGACGCTATCATACCTTGAAACCCATCCCCGAAGATCTGCATGAAGCCCATCAATATCAAAAGAAMAAATTGGTATCGRCCGAAGCTGCCAATTTTGTCCAGCRCCTCGTCGGTTGATAAGGGATCCATTTTGGTTTTAGATGTCTGCAGTTGAAGAATACATTATGATCGTTTCAGTGATCTTTGTGCTAGAGCAATACTGCTGTTTACGAGATGAAGCATGTAATAGTGRTSTTTAGGTGTGTTYCATTAGTCAATGAATAAAACGCCTTCTTTATCATACTCTAATAGCTACCGGACGATCGATTTGACCTGTGTCTCCAAAAGTTTGAAGSCTAAATAGTTGTGTTTTTCTTCTTTTATAAACAATTGTCACATCATAGTACGCTTATARGCTTTTTATGCCAAAATCAATACCACTAATTATATTTTCAGTGAMATATATATGCACTGTTGGGCACGCCACTCTAATAATTCAACGTTGTGTTGCATTCTTTTTAAATGTCTGAGAAGCTATAGAGAAAGATTAGACGAGAAGGGGGTATGAATAAAATATTTCTAATAATTACCTTGTGTTCGAAATCAAAGTTTTAGCAGCTCTAGTGATTAAACAATAATTGCCTTCAAAATCAACTGAAAAGGACATCTATAAAATCCCTGAGGAGGTTTTCAATTCCCTTATCTCTGSTAGTATTATAATTACACGAGAATATATGATGTGCATGCTATTCCGGAAAAATAGAACTAAGTCAGAAAGTTTGTGCATTACACTGTGCTAAATAACATAGGAAAACAAGGACAGCTTGGAAAATGGTTTTATCATCGAAATTTTAGAATTAATCGTTTTTTAGACTTAGCGAAAAAAAAAAACAACAGTGAAAATATCATTATAATATATTCGAATCTATTCTAAAGTGTTTTTCATTGTAACTGATCACACAGTACTTGTATTTCTTTTTTTATTACTGAAAGCAAAAKATTTTTGTTGTGCTTCCCTATATGTTACAGACAAAAATGGAACTTCACGATGAACAGCAGGGAACTATACATGATTGCTCAAARAAATGAATTGCCYCTCGAMGTCAGACATATTTTCATTCACCCAAACTCGCCTCATATCGTCAAAGCTCTGTTGTTTATGATTAGAAATAGGTATAACTGACTCAAATCGATGAAATTGTGAGCTTTGCGTATACATACATCTAAGTGATTAAACCAATTATATTTTTAGAGCAATTGAATTTTATAAAAACACCAAGGGCAACCAAACATATAATTACCATGACACTTAGAATGATTACAGTATTTTTGATATTGAAACTTGTGCTGCAGGATAAACTGTCTTAGTTTCTTTACCTTCTGTTCATTTTTTTTTTATTTCCATCGTTTATTGCTATATATGTTGGTTTAAAATATCAAATCCACTTCCACGGATTTCATCGTTGCGTTCAACATGCTTGTGAGATCTTTTAGATACTCGATAAATATTCTAATTTCAATCAACAAACAGAAAATAAATTCAAGTATTTAATAACTTTTTTCRACAAAAGGAAACAATTCAAAGAATCGCACGCACATGCATGGCTGTGGTAACCTCTAATTTTAAACAAATATAAAAAGTTATGGATTAATAGATAAGTTATCTGCATGGATTCCATATGAATAATAACACTTTACACTTACCTCTSAGAAAAACTGTAGCACTGTGCGTTAACTTAGTCTTGCACAGAGTTTTTCATATTCTTTACCATTGTTTTCATACACGATATCCTATCAATTGAATGCTTAGCTGCATTTTTTGGTCATGTCCGGCAAACCATAGAGATTTATTATTAAAACGATAATGTTGCTATACATATGACAAGCTTTGATTAAACTATAATTACGTAAGTTTCAACCAGAAAGATATTTGTTAAAAAACTCCGCCTAATTTCTCAGGCGACAGTCGACTAGTTATAGATATACATACATTAAAATATGATATTTGATATGATATTTGATATTTCCAGAAAATGAAATGTATGAAATATGATAGCATAATTAAAAATATAATTTCATAAGCAGATGTCAAGGAATTTTGACGTCACGTTATTAGACTTCAGTCCGGTTTGCATTTAATTATGAATTTACAAAGAAATATATGTGACTTAAAAGTTAAAGTAAAATTTCGATATATATATCAAAAGATTTCGCTGGTATGTACCACTCATAGTTATTATTTATTATACTCTCAATGGTATGTTTTGAGATGGAGTATGGTTTTCAAACCTATGTAAAAATATCCTTGTGTGATTTTGTTGTTCTAATTCGACATCCGAATTGACCCAAATAAAACAAATTCAAAGTTCTTGATACTTCGTGGAAAGCTCACCATCTCATATTATAGTCATTAGGAGCTTAGGCAACGTCCAACTCTGTGGGAAATTAATATTTCAACCGTTTAACTTCTAAAACGACAATACAAATGCGTCCAAATTTCTAATGCAGCTCGAAAAAAATCATAAAAACATTCTTCAAGAAAACTCTTTAGATTTGGAAGTGAGGCTCTCAACAATATTAAATGTGTCAGAAGGAAGGATTGCTGATCCAGCGACGAGTCGGACGAAGATCTGCCACCGGCTCACGGCGGAAAGAGATGTTGATATGCTGGGGCTTGYGAAGAACTCACATCTGCAGAGCATTTCGAATGATCTCATCTGACCATATGTCAGGATTTGTGCAGGAGGCAAGGGTGTTGAATCGGTATGGGATGGATTATAGGGTACCACCTTTCAAGATACAACCGAGTATGGTGGTTTCTTTGGAGGTYGATGACGGTCTTCGAAGCTGAAAGACACAGGTGACATCGGTTAAGGCCTTGAAGAAGTTTTCTTCCAGTTTCGAGTAACTGCTGAGATATGTATTTCCGTATAAGTACACGGCACATAAGCTCATGTCGGACCGCCTTTAAACGGGTTGGCGACGCCTCAAAACTTCATGGACTCTTTCGTAAGAGGAATCTGTTAGGAGGGTTATGTCAGGCCAGCCTTGATAAGGTGTTTTCATATGTATGTCAAGGTGGTGTCGACGCATTGGAGGAGGGAAGGCTTGGGTTTACTGTAACGTCCAACATCGGCGAGGTCTGTTAAGAGGCGATGACAGCCGTTGTTGTTGTTGTTTTTTTTTTGTTTTGTTTTTTTGACGAGAAAGCAGGAGTTGAGGTACTCGACCGTGGTGTTTACCTTCTATGGTGTTTCAAAGACACCGAGTTTTTCAAGCTCGTCATTTTTTTCTTGAAGTAAGACGACTTTACGACGATCATATTGAGGGAGTCTCAATTGAACCCATGTTGACTTTGGCTTGAAATGGACCTTCAGCACCGTTGTAGCTGGTGAATTTGGGATCAACATAAGCCAAACTCTTCCATGAGTGACTTCAACTGAGCTTGAATGACCTGTGGTAGTTGGTTGTCAGGATCGATCGKGGCGGCAGCAGAATAGACCACGCCAGGCTGAGCACGAAAAGGTGACTTGCCTTTAGACATCTCAGGACTATATATAATCTCGGGCTGAAAGGCGACTTTAATAGCGTGTYAGACATGCTCGTTGCGTCTTCTGAGTTTCAGAGGCTCGGACGATTGATCCGAGATACGGATACGACGTGCTACGCTTTTGATTATGCAGGGGTTGGGCCACGRCTGTCGTTTCGGACTAACGGCATCGTTGGGTGTCTTAAGCCCGCATATTGACGGTCCGAGGAAGCATCGTAAGTG